TCTCCTGTATATATATAAAGATAATATGTTTACTTCAAAGTATGCAGTAAGTATGTCATTTTGTATTTTTATTTATTGCCTCAAATATTGTGGGTGGATCACTGATTGGCATATTCCTCTTCATACAAAATCTACTCTGATAATAAGCATTCCATGTAGAATGTTTTCATTGTAGGAACTATTTTCCCCCAAAATTCATCATATATTACTATAGCTTGAATGCTTATCCCTAATGGTATTCATACAATAAAATCACAGTATTTTCTTCTAGTAATATGTCATTCTTCTTGCTCTTGGTAGTGGTAGTCATTGTTAGTCTTCAATATAAGACAACCATTCTCTATAGTGCAGAAGAAACCTTTGACCTTTATAGGTACTTCCTTAGGAATCATGTGCTCTGCAGTTTTGAGACACTTGATTTCTAAAATTCTATCTTACGTGACAAGTTCGTCAGGACTAGCTCCAAGAAATCTATGTTCCAAGTGTACAAATGACCCACATTTTTCTACAGACACATTTTTTCATTTTTCCTAGTCTGCTATATCTAGATGTATAAATATTGGTACTGTAAAGAAAATGTTTCACTTTCTTTTGGTATAAATTGTGGTTCTCATTTTATTTATGGAGCCAAAGTTGGATGCTGTTGGTCTACCATCTCTCTTCTGTCACCAAATGATATGTTTATGATGACCAATGTTTCTTTTTGTAGTTTCTTCTATGGATACTTGTAACTGTTTAAGTTTGTTTTTTTCCCTTTAATTCAGCAATTAAACCTTGTGCTTTATCTGGCTGATTACCATGTTTCCAGTAATCCATATTATGAAATGAACTGGAAACTCTAAAGCTGTTTTTCATTTTTGCATCTCTTTGAGATGTTTTCCCTTCTGGAGCTAAAAGCTGTTTCCTGCGTTTTTCTCTGCTTTTAGTAGTGTATCAGATATATTTTTTAAACAATATTTGGGCTTTTGAGTTTGAAGGATTTCCAGGTTACGTGATGACAGTTCAGCTTTAGTTGGAAAGACAAACCAGTTCCTTGGCATCTATTTCTGTAGGAGTTTCTCCTTGAACAATGAAACTGTTTGCCACCAACAAACATATCTAATAAATGGATATACAATTAATCTGCATTATTTGTTTCATTTTTCAATAAGTTGAGGTGATTTCTGGACTAGGTGATCAATGGTATTAATTAGTTTAGCCAAAGGAATTAAAGACATGGATGAAATAACGTTATTGTCAAAAACCTGCCATATTTCTTACAGTATTGGTCTCTTCAGATGGTTATAAGAAGATCTCAAAAATGGTCCTTACCATTTTTGAGATCTTATAACCATCTGTAATGTGAATCAGGTAGAGAAGCATGATATGTTATTGCTCCTCTTGCAGCAGTGGGTATTCTCTCTATTCTAGGAGCTTAAAGGACACAGGCAGCATTTCCATCATTTGTTTTGGCAGTATCATACAAGTATGAGGAGTAGCATTACTGGCATATTTTAATTTCTGAACTTTATAACCCTACTTTACCTTTTCAACAATTTTTTATGCACACTAGAATCACGATTTTCAATGAATCTAAGGAATCGAATCTCGAGCATTTCTTCACTTTGTCCGAATCCCTTTGCTATTAAATCTGCTTCCATTGCCATTGATGATTTATCCTAGTTTTTATAGCATAAGTGATCCTTCTTTATATTGTTTTTAACACTAACTGCACAGATACAACATTATTTGTTCCTGATGCTGATAAAAATGCATTTTTGTGCTTTTTCTAGTAATAACAGCCACACCAGATTTTGCACTGTATTGGTGTCTGTAGCTCCACTGACTTCACCCACCGTAAACAATGACTGTAATGAAAGGTACCATTATTGTCAAATTGGTTATTCCTTATTGCCAATTCTTGTTCTTTTTTATCAGCTGCAAGCATTTATTGATAAAGAGTATTGCTACAGCTAGCTCCTATTTTTGTTTCTGTCTTTAGGAATTTTTATCAGAGAAAATGCTTTGTCCATTTGTGAATGTTCACAACCAATGCTGACAAAACCCGGTGCTGCTGCTTCCTTTATATATCTTAAGCTTCTAGGTTTTGTTGTGTGACTAGTAACTGTAAATTTCTTTTTACAGATTTCACATTGTAAAATAAAAAGGCTGGATAATCCTCCCCTTTTTTTTCATTCTTGTGTTTGGCAACACGTGAACAAATCTGTTGGTGATCAGCAGATAGTGCTATAATTCATTCCAAATGTGACCTATGTCTATGATCAAATTTACAGACCAACAAGAAATCTTTGTTACTTTATCAAAGACTACTGTCTTGATTTATGTCTGTACTAAAACATTCTGTAGGTAACATGATTCGGTCTGACTACCAGCATGAACAAGGGTTGCAGAATCAATTGTCTTTGTAAACTTGTTGGGATGAGCAAGGAAAAATCTGGATGTTTCCTGTTATAATATATAAAATAGTTATTACAATGATATTACTTTTATTTTTAAACATAATAGAATATATAATGGTGACACAAATGATTAAAATTACAAAATACTTACACCAAATCATTGTGTTTTTGTTTTTATCTTCCTTGGGAAGTTTTCAACATTATGGGACTTCTTCCATGTAGAAGACAGCTAGCTTGCCTTTCACAGTGTTCAACATATTGTCCACTCTAGTTTTGTATCACACTGACCTGGTGTGACTATTGTTGAAAGTTAGGCTCCAGTATCATCATATGACCAATTATCTCTACCCTTTCTACATGATATCAGGCATGGAAATTGAAAACTGCAAAAATATTTTCTTCATGCAATTTTATGGCATAAAATATGCTTACTTTGGTTTATGCTTTTACTTATATGTGTAGATAATATTTTATTATATTAAGTTCATTGAATGAACGCGTATTGTTTAGCCAAATTCTTTGATCTTTTGAAAATAATTCCATATCGTAAAGTTCCTATACAATGTAAATATTGCATACTAAAACTGGAACTATGCTCATGGTCTTTTACATCCACTCCTGACCCCACTGCCCCTCCGTCTTTCTTGGTTTGACAGCCCCCTGTGAGATATGATATGTAACATTTACCTACATGGACTTTGCTAATTTTTGAAGATTATAAAAATATTATTTATGGTTAATGAATTATTTTTGTTATGTGTAGAAAACAATAGTTTTAATTTTTTCTTGGAAGCATTTTTTATTTTTTTGTAATTTAATTATGTACATATTTGTTATATAGCATATTTAGATTAAATTCTTTATGTAAAATACATACAAAAATTTCAGAAAACTACCATATTATTTGGTGTATAAGTGGCACTTTTTTACCCCAAAATTTGATGTAAAAATCTGCTTGCATCCTATACACCGAAGGTATGAATAATATATATGTATATAAATACGATATACACAAGCCATGTGTGAATATATTTAAATAGGTATGCA